GGCGGGGCTGACCGGCCCCGATGAGGCGGAAGGAGAAGCGGCTCCTGCAGGCGGCGGCGCTGGTGCTGGCGGCCCTGGTCCTCCTGCCCAACGTGGGGCTCTGGGCGCTGTACCGTGAGCGGCAGCCCGACGGCACCCTTGGGGGACTGGGAGCGGCGGTGGCCCCAGTGGCCGGACAGGTGAGCGCCTCAGTTGTCTGGGACCCGGGCGCCCCTCCTTGAATTGTCTTCTAGCCTGCGGATCATTCCTCTACCTGTCTGTCTCATCAGAGGCAACGCCGAAGAGTCTGCTTTTCCCATTCATCGGATTGGAAAAATTGAGGCTTAGAGGAGGACGGGGACTTCTCCAGGGTCCCCGTCCAGTCAGAGACAGAGCCAAAACTAGAACGCAGGACTCCTGGTGCCCAGTCCGGTGCTCTATTTCTTATGCCTTACCTTCCTTTTTTTCTGTCGCCCCGTGATTCCCCTACCACTTCCACAATTCCCCGTCTGCATCCCTGTATCCCAGGATGATTCCTTCTGCTGACGGGAGTGGAGATGCTGGTGCTTCTATTTGGTGTCCGGATTCTCCCTCCCCTCACCGCCTCCACCTGCTGATCCTGGTGTTTCAACCCAGATCGGTCCCTTTCCAGTTTCGCCATGTGCGCAGGGACACCTGCGTCTGCCAGCTCTCCTGTCCTCATTTGCTTGCTCCCTCCTTCCTTGCTCAGGTCCTGTGCATTCCTTGGGATGCGGCGATCATGCTCCGGATCACGCACCAGTTGCAGCTTCAGGCCCCTGGAGATGGGTTAGGGCTGACCTGCTGGACCTTGAGGAACTTGTGCCCTTGACCCTCTGGGTGTCCAGGTGGCGGAATCCCCAACATGTTGCAGAGCTACTGGAGTTCAGTGCTGTGAGGATGGAACACCAGACGCCTCCCTTGTCTCTTGTGAACTGGTTAGAGGTGATGTTTCTTGTGGCCAGAACTGGGATCTTGGTGCCTCTTCTGAACTCACGTGTGTGTGTGTGTGTGTGTGTGTGTGTGTCTGCGTGCCTGTGTACATGTGGTTAGACTTGTGCCTTCCCAGTAGCAAAGCCTGGTCACGTCACTGTGACTCTTGCAGCTCCTGACAAGCATATGCAAGCTTGGACTGTTTCATACAGGGGGCATCTCAGGTTTCCTTAGGGGCTTTTCTTGATCCCATGGGAAGTGGGTAATTCCTGCGTGAGGGTCAGACTTGACAGATCTCTGGCTGGTCTGGTGGGGAAGAGGCCGACTTTCGGGGTGGATGGTTCTCCTTTCTGTTCACTGTGGCAGGCTGCTATCTGGGTGTTCTGGTATCTTGAACACAGAGGCTCTTTGCTACAGGACTGATCTACTTGAGCTCAGCCTGCCACTCGGAATTGTTGCAAACCATCCCAGAAGGTCTGGTTGATCTTTCCAATCCAAACAGAATATCTTACTGTTTAGAAACAAAGGGCCCAACTGCTTTCCTAGATTCCTGCTTCAAACTGACGCTGACTTAGACTTCTCTCCTGTAAATTCTGTATATCTGTTGGGTTTTCCTTTCATAGTTCACAGAACCTCTTTCCTCTGCTTCTACCCTGTACCAGCGTAAGGGTCAGGAGTCCAGGGTTCTGCCCTCAGCTCTGCCATTGACTTGCTGTCTGTGTCCTTGATTATCACCAGTCTCCCTCTCCAAGCCTTACTTTCTCCATCTGTGAAATGTGGATATTGGTCCAGTGTCAGCATCTGTGATACTGTCAGTGAATCAGTAAGGGGCACAATGAACCACCTTTTTTTTTTTTTTTTTTTTTTTTTCATTTTCCTGATGGTGGAGTCCCTGATAGCATCCCTAGCTTTGGGGGACAAGCTAGGACACAACCCCAGCCCAAAGGGGAATGACCTGGCCAAGTGCACACTCTCCTTTGGAGTGGATATAGCCAGTTTGAAATAGCTCTTGACATTCTGCCTCTGCCTGGAGAAAGCCGTTGTATTTCATTTGCAGTAGATGCCGGAGACGTCCTGATTTTCATTTTCTGTAGACCCAGATGTGTAGAGAGAAGGTCAAGGTTAACTGCCAGTTTGGCCTGAGCTTTCAAGATAAATTACTCACTTGTGCAAGAGGGCACTGATGGGATAAGGCAGCCTTTTGGGCAGAGGGAGATGGGAGCAACAGCTGGAAGCTGCTTGGAACCCCGAGCTCAACTGGGCAGGTCTAGTTCTTACTCCTTTCTTTTTCTCTGGAGTAGCATGAAGAGGAGGGGGTTGGCATGGCAAAGGGTGTGTGTGTGCGTGTGCGTGTGTGTGTGTGTGTGTGTGTGTGTGTGTGCAGGGGGGTTCTGTCAGTTGATTTCCCTAGCTTTAAAGAAAACCTCTTTGCTTGCTGGGAGTAGCAGAAGGGAGTTGTTTCCCCACTGTTGAGCTCTTCTAGGTGCTACAGGATTCAGCATTCATCCGCTGCCTCTCAGAAACACCCTGCCAAATCTCCACACAGCCCCTTTTTGTTCCTCTGTCCCACAGATGCAGAGCCCAGGGCTTGGGCCCTGGTGTCTTGTTTGAATGTCAGCTGGCCTTGAGGGGGAGAGCTGAATTCCTGGAGTAGTGTTGTTCTATCCCTCAGCCCAGCATCCTGCAGCGTGCACTGACCGCATCGAGCTGCTCTCTGGGAAGTCTGTCTGGGGCACCTAGCGCTCCTTCGACAGGGCTGACCAGATCTGAGCTCAGCCTCTCGCTCCCGTAACTGCTGAGACTCATCACAGAGCCCCTCGTGGATCTTTCTGATAGAAATAACTGCAGAGGCTCTGGAGCGAGTTCTGGCAGGACTTTATCCGAATAAAAAAATACGTTCTTGCGGTTTGAGAGTTTTCTCCCCACTGTCTGAGCAGTTCTTTACCTCTTGGATTTTGCCAGTGGATTGAAGAATAAAGAGTTTCAAATCAGGAGGTGTTGTCGTTGCTAAAGTGTGAGCCTCCATAACTGCTATGCTGGCTTACCCTGGGTGTTCCTCTAGAGCTGAGTAGGGCATCTGATTTATAAAGGACACATAATGCTTCTAGGATTTTAGCATTCCTCTGACTAGACAGCTGGTTTCTCAGAAAGCTACAAAACCAAGCAAGAAAAGCCAGCTTTGAGGCCATCTTTCTTTTAATTTGGGGTTCTCTCTCATTGCTAGCCCCAATCTGCTTGACATCTTGGTTTAATTCTAGGGTCTGTTTCATATTCCAGGCTTGGGAACTGGTTATTAAAGACCCACATTAGGAAACTCGATGTAGTTCCCTCCCCACTTCTGAGCCGCAGTCTGCGGTGAGAAATGACTCCACTGGATAATGGCGTCTGTAGAATAGAGGTTGGTGGGATAATGGAATACCAATGGCTTTAATTTTCAAGTATTAGTAGTTTTTCTCATGTGTCAGATCTGAACTTTATTCTTAGAGCATCCAGAAATCAATACTTGTTGCCTCTTTTTTTCAGTCTTCCTGATAGCAGAACCTTGCCCGTCAGGAAGTTAAGTACCACGGAAATGTAGCCTGCAATGATTTGTTTAATTTTTTTGCCGAGGGCCTGCCGTCGTTTGGGTAGCTAGTCACTTTTCTGTATGCCTGCCCTGGTGAAGTCAGATGCCCTTAGGTGGGAGCTGGCATCCCTGCGTCTTCCTGTCCTCCTCTGCTGTTTCCCAAGGAGTCCCACTGAGGAAGGCTTAGGCAGGGAGGCTTGGCTTCTAGTTCTCTCTCCTACCCTCAGCCCACTGTGTGACCTCAAGAAAGTGGTTTAACCTCTCTGGGCCTTGGATTTCTCATCTGTGGTGGTGAGAGGGGAGAAAGGCAAATGTGTATCATGATGTTGCTTCCCCACCCTGGCCTGGACAGATGGTGCTAATCAATCTCTTGCCCACTAAGCCCAGACTTGGCCTTAGACTTTCTGGGCACTGATACTTAGGTGGAGTTAATGACCTTGGAATTCATTTGTGATGGTGGAAATAGATACTGTTAGTGCTTTTCCAATGCTACGTAACATCCTGGCTTTCTGAGAGTCAGGAAGAACACGTGGGAAAGGTTTCTGCAGGAGGCCACCTACAGTCTAACTTGTGATGATCCCCACCCCTCCTTTAAGCGTTTGTTTGTATTCAGTGCCTCTTCTGGCTGGAATCTGAAGATGTCCAGCCTTTAATCTGTTGATTCCAGTGACATGTAACTTACAGATAATAGAACCAGGGGTTAAAGAGGTAAAGGCCCATTTAAGAGATAACCATCTAGCTTGCTAATTATACCTTGTCGGCAGTCAGCTCTACAGAGTTAGCATCAGGATCTGAGCACCGTGTAAAATAACCTCGAGGCAAACTTGGCAGCTAGAAGTATGTCTGTGGCAGCTAAATGCTCCTCACAGTAGCTTCTGCATTTTGTGTGTATCTGACCTTTTGCTGCTTATATATGTGTCAGAGCCAGAAAAGGGAGGGACTTAGATAAGAGTCTGGCTTCTCCAGAGAACCGCTGTTCTCAGCGCAGAGTAAGGAAAGGTCTGAGTTCCTGTGGCCAGGAAGTGCGTCGTGGCCTCCCCTCCTGGAAGTGGCCTGAGGAGATGCCCTAGTCTAGCACACAGCACTGGAAGACAGGAAGTCATCTAGTCCAACTCCCTCTTTTCATAGGTATGAAAACAGAGGCCCAGGAGAGATGGAAGTCACCAAACACACCTCACAGAAGGAGCACAGCCCAGAATACAGTACTTTCCAATTTCACTGCCAAGATCCCCCCGCAACATACTCATATTTCATCCTTCTCTCAGCAACTTTGGAGGCCCTACTTAATGAGACCAATTATCTGCAGGAGTCTACCTGTCTTTTTTGCAGAACCACTTTTGCAAATTTTCTTCCCAACATTTTATACTTTTAAAGTAAGTGAAATGGATGAAACTTTAAGGTAGCAAAATGGTCCTGCAGGGGAGTAGAAGAATTAAAAGGATGTGTAGCACGTGGCACAATTACTGCTTCCCATGGCTAACGGAGCTAATCGAGCCGCTTCAGATTCTGTATCAGTTGCAAGTAACGGAATGAGTTCAGCCAAGTGGCCTCAATTAATTAAGGGACTGCACAGGGCCCCATGACTGCAGTTGGGTTTCAGGTGTGGTATGATCAAGAGCTTTGTGGGATTGTCAGGACTTGGGCTCTTTTCCCTGTGTTCTCTTGGCTCTGACTTTATCCCTC